TTATCCACACGAATCCCTGTACTGCAAACAATGGTGGTGTAACCCCATTTCTGCAGCACAGAGCGTGGGTCAAACACCCTTGATAGTTCAGCAGAGCCAGTAGGTGAATTTCCAGAAATCATCAGCACTTGCTCCCAGTGAGACCAGCAGCAGCCCAGGGAGCACCTGGTTATGCTGTGCCTCAGTCCTGCAGTGCAGCCCCAGGCAGGTGGCTTTGGGATAGAGAAGTGGAGAAGCCATTTTTCAGTGCCTTGTGAGTTCATTTTTTATCTTCCATGCCTGGTTTAACAAATGATCCAGGAGAGGGAATGTGACTGTTTGATTTTGTGCACTGCTATCTGTATATAACAGCTGTTAAATCCATACATCTATTTATTAGCTTAGCGGACCTGTCTTAGTCATGTGTGCTACTAATAGAAATGCTTTTCTGTGTTTCTATGCTCTTCTGCCTATGTGAACTGTCATTTGTATTTATATATTTATTCTTTTTCTTCTAGATCAACTAGTCACACAGAATTGGCAAGAAAAGCTTCTAGCAGTGAAAAAGAGACAGAATCCGTGGTAGTTTTAGATCCTGTGTCCACCAGTGGGGATCAAATGTCTGAAAATGCCATGAACCAGAACAAAGTGAAAGAAGAAAAAAGCAAGCCACAGCATAAAGAAACTAACGTTGGGAAAATAAAAGAAACAGATAGTTCTAGCTGTTAATTGTTACTTTGCAAGGCTGTAACTTTTGGGAATCATTATCTGAACATGTGAATTGCTTAGGTGTGCTACTAGGGGCCACGGTCTGTACTCCAGACAGAAATATTACAGATTGAAATGGTCTTTTGTATGCAGCTTTTGTTACATGCACTGAAGTGTTAAATAACTGTGTGTCACTCAAAATCCCTTTCCCATTTTAATTTTGCAGGTATGGGTATTAATTTCTTAGATAGTGACAGTTACCTTTAAAAATGGATTTGAAGAGGCTTTTTAAACTCTTATTTTATTGAGAAGATGCCTTGTTGAAGGTCTGTTCCAAAGCTTGCCAGAAGACCCTTGCATCCATCCCTCTTGAGCTGGACAGGTTTGGGTTAGACCCTGTAAGTGATTACACCCTCATAAGCTTCAGTATGGGGGTGTTACTAATTATTAATAAAAATGTGTTTAGACACATTGCTCCAAAAATGTTTTGATACCTGCTTAAACCAAGATCTTGTTGGTCCCCTGCCTGCTGTCCCCACATAGGGAGGAAATGAAAAGCACAAGCACAACCCTTCTGTCTCAGATTGTCAGGGGACAGAGACTAAATTGCAGAGGCAGTGCAGCATCTCATTCTGGTACCAAGATTTTTGGCAGTGATAGCCAGAGTCAGGGGTTTGGGGACTGGGACTCATTTGGGTTAAAAGCTTTGCAAAGGAGGACTTGCTCCTGGGTTTTGTTTTAATGTTACACAGCAGCTTTTGGAACTGCTGCAGTTGGAGTCTGTTTTACTGCACAAAAATAACTTGTCTTAGGCTCCAGTGGATATGGGCTGCATTTGGGATTCATTCTAGGACTGCAAGTTATTGGGAATCATCAACATTCTGAGAACTCCCAGCTGAAAACTCACAGTGCTAACAAATGAGCCCTTGCTTTGGACCTGGCACACACTGGTGGCATTAATTTCTTTATGAGGTGACACTTCAGGTGTCTGTATTTGATAACACAAATCCCAGTGTCCCTCCACCCTTATTCCCTATGACAACGGTGAGATAGGAACATCATTGATTTGCTCCACTGCCAATTCACATTCCATTGCAGTCTCTTTAAATTCAGCACAGTATCTCATTCTTTTATAATCAACAAATGGAATCAGGGATTTACCTAAAGATTGGTGTAACTGAAATTGGGTGGGCACGTACTTGAATGCACTTGGATTCTTTTTTATTTAATTATTTGAAACAGTGATAGTATTGAAGGATGAATGTTCTGAGTTTGTTGGTTTGGCTCTGCATGCAACTGTCTGGTGCTTTTCCTAAAAATAAAATGATAGTAATGAGTGTGGTGGCTTCACATCTATTTTGGTGGTTTTTGCATGTTTGCTACGAAAACCTTGGACTTGATCTAATGACTGGATTGCATACAGTTCATAAACTTGGGGAAATTTGTCTCTCACTGATATTTTCATTTCTTGGGGGCAGTTGGTTCTGGCTGTTAATTTTTTTACTTAGTTGTCTGTTACACTGAACTTAAAATGCAAAATTTCTTATATGTATTTTTTCCTGAAATTATTGCTGCTGTATTATATGTTCAGATTTTCAAATTATGCAAAACCCAGAAGTTTTTCAAGAAGCATTTCTTTTACTTAAACTGTTTTGTTACCTAGAACATAAATTATTTCTTCAACTTTTCATTGTTGCTTATTAAAAAGACTCCTGACAAGTTTCCCAGACCTTGTGGAATTGACTTGTTACTCACTGATGCCAGTCACAGCTCTGTGCCCAACATTTGGGGTTTGCACTTGTCTTGAGGGCTACAAATGGAGCAAAATCTTCTTTTCAGGCTGGATCTCAGAGCAGCACTGAGGGGTTGGGGGGATGGAGCAGCATAACACCCAAGACCTTTTTTTCTTTTTTTTGTAAAATGTGGTGGTCTGTGTTTTTTTTTTGTTTGTTTTGTGGTGTTTGTTTTGTTTTGTTTTTTTTTACTGTTTGTCAACAGCTTGCTCTTTGTATGGAGGGAGATTCTGATTTTCTCAAAACAAACATTTAGTTTTGGACTTAACACAGTAGTGTTTGTTTTGTCAATTTGTAAATGCAGCACAGAATTTTGTGGTATTTTCACACTATAGTCACTGCTCAGTTAATTTGGTTTCAGCTGAAGGCAATGGGCCCTGGGAAAAGAGAAGCCAGTATTTGAAATCTCTTGGAGATATTTGGCTGAACTGCTTGAAAAGAAATTGATTTAGGAATAGTTAATATGTGACATAAATATTAACTATTAAATAGTTAATATGTGACAAATGTTAATATGTAACTTTTTAGTAAAATATTTTTTTCTTAGAAATTTATCCCAAAGTAATGATGACAGCCTAGTTAATGTGCTGTTTTCTGGGAGCTGGGCAGGCAGGCTGTGAATCTGCAGGGCTGGCTGAGAGCTGTGGAGGCAGCTAATCCTGCTCTGGGGCAGGAAGCACATCAGGAAGTTGTTCTGGCTGTGAGTCTTCAGCAAAATCAACAAATTCAAGTTTTGCTTCACCTGAAATAGAAGAAGGAAAAAACAGCTCATGTTTGCTGTAATGGGGTTTGTTGTGCTCTGGTGCACAGAGATGTTTTGAAAATGCCACATGATGGTTACAAGACCGGACACACCTTTAAAAGTCCGGTCTTTGCTTAGAAATGAAGGGACACTGTGATTTTATGGTGCACTGCAGCCTGAGCTGGGATATTTACTGCATCCCTTTCTCCAGTGACCATCTCACCTTGCTGCCTTCTGTTTTCCCCCTGCACTGGTCTCTTGCCAGGTTCCCATCAGCTGACTCTGCTGCTAAAGCCGCTGTCCCAGCGTTGATCCCATAACCAGCAGTTCCCTGTTCCTGCCACCAGCAGCTCTCTGCTTTTTCCCAGCTGTGACTCGTTCCCCAGCCCTGCCCTTAGCACCGCTCCTGGTTGCCGCACACACGGTGCCGGTGCCGGTGCCGGTGCCGGTGCCGGTGCCGGTGCCGGTGCCGCTGTGTGTGCCCAGCCGAGCGGGCAATGCCGAGCCCAGGTTCGGTCTCCCGAGCCCGGAGCTGGCCCCGCACGGCCCCGGGGCTCTCCTGATGGTCCCGGGTGCCCTGGCTCGGGCTCTCCCGGCTATTCCCAGCTCCAGCCCGCAAATGAGGAGCTTGGTATGCAGCTCAGAGCTGCTCTCACTGCTGCCCTGCTGTTGATTTAGCTACTGGATCTTATTTCTGCCAAGTGATTAACGGTGTCGGGGATTGTTGCCGTTTCATTTCATCAGATATAGGTCTAAATATTTGTCAGACTCGAGAGCCTTTGCTTAGACTATATTATTTGAGGAGGCAGTATATTAATACTGCTGAGGCAGTTAAAATTCATAGTTCTGTAGTCATCTTATTTTTGAAAAGTGCATTCTGCAAAACTATTAGCACAAAAAAAATTTCTATGTTTCTGTGTTTTACAATGGTTATGAGCAAGGGGAAGATTTCAAAAAGCTCAACATATATTCAATTTTAAAACATTTCAACTAAAAACTTTGTTCTATAGTGTGCATGTCAAGTGCTGCTACCCTATGTGTAGAGCACTGGAAATTATAACAAACAAGAGGGTAAAATGACTTAATTCTTCTTCGTGTTTCCTTTTCTTAGGAATAATGCAATTCCTGCAAACCCTTTCCTTCCTTTCTTCCTCTCCTTGTCTCTCTGCCTCCCCTTTAGACTGCATGTCTTTATTCTGGCTTGATTGATACCTGAGCAAGTGAGAAGTGGCTCTAATGAACTGTTAAGCATTTAACAGTGCCTTGGTACCGTGTAAAAAGAAGATGCAGATCCTGAAACGGGCAGGCAGATGCATACAAGTGGCTAAGGCTGAATGTGCATCGTCAACTTGGGGTTTTCTTGGATTTTATTTAAGGCTTACCCACGCAATTGTAGCTTTCCAAACACATTTTGCTAGAAATGTAACGTACAAAAGAGGGTAGTGAAATGAAGTTTTGTTAGCAATATATGTTTCTGGGCCTCGAGGGAGGTGGGGTATTTGGCCTAAAATTCCATTTTGGCAGCTTTTCGACACATTATATGCACGGTTTTTTGTTTTGTTCCTTTTGCACCGTGGGCTTCAAGACTCCAACCAATTAATTCTGGAAAAAAAAAAGCTTAATGTAGGCTACTCCTCAAGAAGGGGTCTATTTTAACATTCAGTAAACAGATAATCCATTAGGACAACAATATACATTGTGGCAAGTGCTATCCTAGGCTTTTTTTGTCAGCCCTTATTTATAGCCTTTTGATTCCGCTTCCCTCCTGGGGTGCAGTTTCAATCATTCTCCCTCCAATCTTTGTGCCCGTATTCATGGCAGGCTGAAAACAAAGTAAGAAAGAAGCTCGTACGCAGCGCTCCATTCGCGGCCAGTTCCTCCTCTATAGCCAGCAGCCGGTTGTATTTGGCCACCCTTTCTCCGCGGGAGAGACCTCCCAACTTGAGGAACCTGGCACCCAGGCCCACAGCCTGCAACGAGAGAGTGGTGAAACTCCTCACTCGGCCAACTGAAGTCATTCCCAAAAATTAAACACCGTGTCCTAAGTCTGATTTAACACCCTCGTCTCTCCGCAGAGAAAAACGGGGAAATAAAACCTCTCCGTGAAAGACTTGCCGGATGCAAACAGTAATTTTCGCTGGCATATGAAGTGAAATTTTATTTGCAGAGTATTAAATATAATAGTGTTAAGGATATTTGTTTAAAATGTTGTTACTACGCAGGAATGTTGTAAGTAACTCACAGTTTTTTTATAAACTAATGCAAGCAAATGGATCATACACACTTTTGAATATACTCCCTGCTTTGGCAAATTTCCTCTGTGCTCTCTTTAAACGCAAAAGAATAACAACTCTCTGTGGGGAAAAAAACCAACCCGCTAGAAAAAGCCTATTTTGTAAAATGTTTCTTTCTCAAGCACAAAAAGGCTTTCTCCTTAAAAAATAGTACATGTTAAAAGCAGTATTTTTGCAATTCTGCAATTGAACAGCTTTCAATACTTACCAGATCCACGAGGCTCTCATCTGAAGATTCTCTATCTGGACTTCCTAATATGGTAACACGTCTTTGACCTATACATAACGGGAGGGAACACCTTCATTAGAGTATATTTTATATATTTGACACAGAAATTGTTTGGATGTCTCATTCTTTTTTTACCCCTGGGCTATCCAAGCTTAAATAAAAACAGGAGTAAACCCCACCTGATAAAAATGTAAACTGTTTTAGTTTGCTACATTAGTGTTCTGTTTTATTTTCAGATGGATAAGGGAATATCTAACATCCTGTCCTGGTCTCTGCCTCTCACTGATCTGTCTGATCAGGCTGTGCTATTTATATTAAATGTGATCCTCACTATAGTAATTATTTTTCTTCTATTCAAAAGAGAATTTACCATCCTGACTGAATGGAATCTTTAGTTGCCATTTACTCGCTTTGATACACTGAGTGTCGGTGTTTTTAAGGAATAAGAAAAAAACTAAGCTATATTAAATTTGTCCATCTATTCCTCAGGTATAAAAATTAATAAAGAAAATCTGATACAAAGAGAAATTTTACATATGAAGCTGCACAGGCTTTTCATACTTACAACAAAGGCTCAATAATATATAGTCAATAATCTATCTAAATTCAATTTTAAACAGTTTGCACATCTGAATTTTTAAATTATTAATGCTAAAATTATTCAAAATTGAGATTAATTGCTCGCATCTCTCCTATTTTCTTTAATTCTGATATCTAACTGCATGACACTTAGCTGCAGTGTCAAAGGGCACCCACGTACAAACCATTCACAGTGTATTAACTGACAGCACTTGAAGCCTTGACTGCTGTTTAAGGCCCTTGACAGGGATTTGTGAATCAAAACATGAATTTCAGTTTCTTCTGGCAAGTGCTTTCTAAATTATAATTTATTTAATTAGGATAATTAAATGAAAACACGTAATATTTACAGGTGTGGCTTGCAGAGTTTGGTTTCAGCCTTTCCCCCTCGACTCACCGTGCAGAACTCCAGTGAGTTCTATGAGGTCTGACACCTTGGTTTGGTTCGTGTATTTTAGGACAACACCACTGCACATTGCTATGTTTATGTTTTGGTCGGTTGTGAGTTTGGAAATTTGCGTGGCAGCATCTTCAGCAATCAGGTAGCATTTGGAACCAAGGGCACAACAGATGCTACTCCACTGGTCTCTGTCCTGCACAAACAAATTGAGCAAACAACTGGAGTTTAAAAAACTAAACTGAATGGAAACTCTAACTGAGGAGATAAAAATTAAATAATAATCTGGGTTTAATCCTAAATATGCCCTTCATACAAACATGTTACATTTTATACTGTATTTTAAATCTGTCTGCCTAAGAAAAACATGCCACTTGGATTTTCCTTGAGTTTTAAGATTTTGCTAGAAAACAAAAATTTTAATCTGAAATTAATCAACACTATCTGCAAACATTATAGTTAAAATATTTAAATTAAATTAAGTGTACGGGTCTGCTATTTTGATTTCCCTCTTGAAATTTACTTCATTTTGATAGAACATAAAATAATTTTTCCTTGTTTTATTCAAATGACTCATTTTTGTGTTAGTATTTCAAGTGTCATAGTTGTTTGAACATAAAATAATGAACAGGAGACATGGACTCAATGGCAAGACCCATAGGGAACAGAAGAATACAATGCTCTCTTTTCTAGCAAAGCTCCATTTTTCAGGGTCTTTGTGTCTTTCTTTATTTAATGTATTGTCCACATGGTACATGGTCCAGGCTAAATAAAGGACAAGGATATGTAAAGAATTTTAAAGAAGAAATTTACAAATTAATTTGCTTGCTTTGTATCCACAGAATGCAAATTTCTCACACTAAAAACATGTCTACTTCATCATTCTGCCAGTGGTTATTCTTGGTCTGTGGATCAGTTTTTTGTACTTATGTGCTTGCAATCAACATTAGGTGTCATTCCTGTATGGATTTCAATCCTGTGCATAAGAGAAAATGAAGTTTTTGACACCAGAGCAAATGTTAAAATTTAAGCACCAAAGTGGTCTGGTGTCTGGCAACGAATTATTGAATTGGTACCAGAGCTAATCCTCAAGGATCTAATTATCAGGGCAAAGATGTGGCATGGGTAAACCTTGGAGATTTGGGAGGAGGAAGAGGAGGAGGAGGAGAAGAAAAGGCATTTCCCTTAACTCTGTACTCTGTTCCCAACTGCACTTCACTGTGTGCTGTAATTCTCCTGCTGATTCTCATCTTGCAATATTTTCCTTCATAAGAATTCACAAGGAAGTTTGCAGCCCTAGCAGGAGTGGAGAATGACCTGGTGTTTTGGAACATGGTAATTCAGAGAGTCAGACTGAAACAACACAGGGAGGCAAGGCTAACCAGAGTGAGGTAATACTAAACACAGTTATGCAAAAAACGAATATTTAAAGTTCCAGTTAAGGACAAAATCAGATGGATTTTGCAGTACATTGTTTTTTTAGAATTATTCATGCAGGCACTGGGCAGACTCACAGAGCCAACATCACTTTGCTTCTCCCTTCAATCACAGTCTTTGTGTTTTGTTCATGAAAATGAACTCCCTGTGTTTATTTTTAAGAAGATAAAGCGAAATTTGACACCAAAAGCAAATTTTGTATTAAGTTGTGCAACTGCAGAATCTCAGTCTACAACTGTAGGTTCTCCAGCAATTAAGTTTTTATTCTTTTTTTAACACATGGAAATTTAACTTCATGTATAAATGTGAATATTTAAGGTTATACAATCTCTTTTATTCATCTATAGCTTGATAACATGCTTAATATTATTGTGCTTTATTGTTGTAGTTGATTGGCCACACTAATTAACTCCTCCAACTTTGATAACAGAGGTAAATGCAGTGTGTCTTACTCCCACTTGAAAAATTCTGCCGAGCAATTCTGCCAGTGAGAGGACTTTGGTTATAAATATCCATCACAAAGAACTGCAGCAATAACATATTCTGGTGATTTTTTGGCTGAATATACAAGAATGTTCAAATGTTTGCTTCTCCAGCCTAATATTAATATTGCATTACACATCAATTTTTTGTAATACACTCGAAATTTACCTTATAATTTCACCTTATAATTTAATAGTGTACGTAAAGACAAAAATGTAATCAAAATAACAGTGGTTTAACAAGTAGAATCAGATAAAAAAATGCAAATTCTTGTAATTCTTTAAGGTATGTGTACTGACCATATTCTGTCAATGCCAGGATTTTCCATCTGAAATTACGTAAAAAATACTAAAAAAATTAGACATTACCAATAAAATAGATTCAAAGAAATTGTTAGATGCATTTTCTAGTGATATTTTTGTGCTTAAAAACTTGGAAATCAGAAGCTTTTAATTTTATATGTTTTGTAAAAATGAGAAAAGGTCAGTGATATGCCACTGAAGAGTACCACCAGTCTTTAGAGGACTGCACTTGGTATCTTACCTCTTTTCTTAAGGGATCTATTAATGCAATAATAAAAGGAAAATTATCAATCATTTCCACATACATGGCAACCATTTCATCAGGAGTTTTGAATGTTCCAGTGAGTATTTCGTATTTTCCTTTACCCTAGAAAGCAAAGTAAAAAGCATGAACAGGGAAGGTAGGAGCCCAAAAAGCAGAGTGTATGCATCTCTGTAAAGGCAGTGGGCTGTGTGTGCTTCAATCAGGAGGCATTCACTCATCTGCCTCACTCTGTGTTTGAGTTGTCAGCACATTGTTACAGAAAACTCTACCTAAAATGACACCGTGGGTTCCAGTGGGCTCCTGCCAAAGTCTCTGAACAATGCCACTGCCAAAGGAAGAGAGATCTATTTCAGCATTTTCTAGGCAACGCTGCCAGTTTGACACCATTGCAGCATGAAGTTAGCAATATTCGACATTTTTATTGAGTCTCGTGTGAAAAAAATACTATTTTTCTCTTAAAAAAAAAAGGTGTTTTTTTCCCCTCGCTTTCATAAAGAAGATATTGCTGGGGCAAAGGGTGCACCTTCAGTGCCCAAAAGCAAGATACTGCCTTTCCTTGCTTCTTTTCCCTTTCAAAAAAAAAAAAAAAAATAGACTCATTTAAAACCAGTCTCATCATTCTGGGAAGCACAAACTGCAGCCTGGGAGGAATTTTAAGAGCAAGCTGTGAGACTGTGCCAGGATATCCACTGCTTTAGTGGCTTTAACAGAAAGTTACAGAATTACTGGTAATTCAATAGTTAAGATTTTGCACATTCTGGTACAGGATACAGATATCACAGCCAGGAGAGCAACTGCTTTCACAAAATATATTGGTAATGGAAGCTTTGGCACTACAGAACACCCAAACACACAAAAGCTCATGAGGTACTAAATGGAATTGGAAGTTTCTTTTTCTGCTTAGAGAAAAACCTGCTTGATCTTGGAATAAGGGGCAAGAACTGTAAGACTTTGTCAGGAGATAGATTTTTTCAAATAAAAACATTAAAAAACTGAAGTTAAAAAATTAATGTTGATGCACAATGAGATGGGCACTAATGTGTATATAAAGCTATCATAGTAAAAATACAAGCAGATGTTAGGATAGCTTGAAGAAAACAAGAGATGTAGCTTAATATAATGGAAAACCAAGCAGATTCGGCTAGAATTTATAAATGCAGAGATAATTTTTTCTGTTTGCTTGATTGCTACCTTAAAAAAAGGAGTTAGGAGCTTGTAGGTGAGTTTGCAACATATTAATGATGTTAACAAACAGCTACATTTATTTTAAAACCCAAGAAAATCAAAATTGAAAAATAACTTACATAATCCATTAATTCATGAGCAGCAAAATTTATTGCTAAGTACATGTCTATTCCCAGCTCCAGACCTATATTGTTGCAAGCTGTTTGCAATTGGAGTAGTAGTTGTTCTAGATTATCATATCCTATTGTCAGGCAGCCTAAATGTGATATTCTTTTTAAGGGTGGTGGCTGAAAGCAAAACAAAATATTCACATTATTTACACACCTATATTTTATACATATTTATGAGGTTTCTTTCATTGTCATTTCAGTCTGCATTTAGTCATCAAATTATAGATTTGTTCTCAGAAATCTCCTTAGCAGCTGTAAGGACAATTCCCTAGGAAAGAGGAATTAGGAAAGTGCTAATGAGTAGAGAGCAATAGTCCTTGGAAGTAGGTCTAGTCATGCAGATCTCAGTCTTGTATGGCTAGCACTGGTTTAAAAAATTGTATTAAAGGCACTCTTAACAACCACTGAGTTGCCATAAATGCTGTGGTACTATGGACCAACCTTTTCCACAAAAACATATCCTCCACTTCTAAATAGCTTTTAATCCTCAACTACAACATTGATATTGACTCTGGGGAGGATTCAAGAAACCTCAAGAATATCCCAAGACTTCCAGAAGGAACAAATTTCATAGAGGGGAAATACCTCCAGCCCAGCTGCACACTGTCGTCTGCTTCAGGGACAGTATTACTGGCCATCAGCTATGTTTGCAAATATTGAGCAAATATTTCATGTATTTTCTTCTGTTGTCAGTATTTCTATAGGTTTTCCAAACAATGGTTTTTAATTGTGAAGTCTGGGAATTTTGGATTATAAAGATGCACCAATAGACAGCAAAAGATGCTGCAGTCTTCCTGCACTTCAGATAGAGGTTAAATCTGAAGTTTCATGTGGTTTTCAAGATGTCCATATGCTGTGCCTTGATATATTCTATTAAAAGCATTGTCTATCTGTATAATTTTTTTTTCTCTGTTTAGTTTTCACTTCCTTAACCTAAATAAGTTATTTTTCACTGCCTACTTTGTAATTTCCCCTTTTTTCTCTCACAAAAAAGTTCAAAGTAACATGGTGCCTTCATCAGTTTTAAATTCAGTTTCATTACTGTCTCCTGTAGTTTTCTCCTACTGAAATAAATGGAATTTTTTTTCAGAGAATCTAATGCTTTGTTTCCTTGTGTATATCTTACAGAAATATTGTACCTTATGATTGCAGTACATATTGTGGTACTGATATGGAAACTACCCACCAGGAAAACATTGGCCAGCATCTTAATGATGATGAGTTTTTGTTGTTCTAGCAACAATAAAATAGGAAAGCTTTTGTTGATCCTTTCTTTTTTATACTTCACAACAGTAATGATTCTCATCTGATAATATTTAAATCACCTCAGAATGAAGAGGAAAACCTGCATGGCATTTGATCCCACTACTTGGAAAACTTATCAACAAACTACCAATTTTGAAGGGATAAAAAAGATCATTTGAGCCATACAAAATAATGTCCTGTGCTATATTGTGAGTGCTGCCCTTTAGCTACTGGTTTGTATCTGCCATTATCTATAACCTCAGACTGGGCCTGGGCACTGAATGCAGCAGGATCCAGAGGGGAGTTTGCTCCAAGGGTTAGGAAACAGCACAATCCACAAATCTAACAGGTAACAGTTTTATGGTCTACATGATCAAAAGTTCTCTGCTGGTGCTACAGGCCTGCAAAATGTTCATTTGGATAAATTACCAGGATTTCTATATGAGAAAAATTATCAGATCCCAGAAATTTCCCCCTATTTCCTCTACTGCCCCCAAAGGGAAGGTATAGTCAGAAGAATTTAAATTATTATGTAGAATATGAGCATTTGGAACATTTAAGTCTTGCTTTGACCTTTCCAAAATGGCAATGTAGATTAATGCTTCCTTTCTTAAAAACATTTTAAGTTTCCTGCTGCTCTTAATACCTTGTTGAAAACTTAGAGTTAAAATCTCTTTTCATACCGGAGCTTTTTGTGGTTTTCCTTTCCTAGTGTCTCCTTGTGAACCAAGCTGTTGGAGTGAAAGAATATAGAAATAAATTCCATGGAAAAATACAAAGATGACAAAGTAAAGAAAAAAGAAAAGAGAAAAGAAAAGGAAAGAAAAGGAAAGAA